GAAAATACATGGTTAACATTGCTTGTGTTGTCAGTTGTAATTGTCATTTGGTTAAATACACAGTTTGTTGCTATCGTCACACGGGTTATTTATTTATTTTTATTTTGTAACCATGTCTTTTTTAATAACTATTTTAATTTAACTAAACTACTATTAAATAAGCTACTATACTTATTTATCATTTATATTTACAACATAAAGATTGCAAAGAGCTTTCAGTCATTTGACAGATCAATTGATACACAATCCATTAACACAAAGTCTATTAATACACATTTGGTAGAAACAATTCTATCTAACGCCATTTAATTGTCGTTCTGCATCGATAGCCTAAGAAACAAGGTTTTCATCCGAAAATATGTTGTAATCTCAACAAGTTTAGTGAAAATAACTTTTTATTTTGTGCGTGGGTATAAATTAAACAATTTCAGGTTAGAATTTAATACGAAAATGCAATTTTAACATTGCTTTCAACTTCCAAAAATAAACGTCAAATCGCAACTTTAAAGTGATTTTTCGGTAAGTACTACACTTTTCCGCAGTTTTTTTTATCATTAACACATCTTTTGAATCATTTCCTACCGATTAAAAAAAAAATCATCGATTTTTAAGTGGGACAAGTATTCTTTAATTAAGGTAAATTAAGAAGAATAGAAGCAAATGTTTTGCATTTTGGACGAATTAATCACGTGTTAAACTGACCAAAAAATGTAGTAGATAATGCAACGGAAGAGGTGAATACCTTGGCTTATTTCGAGCCCAGTCCCAACACCTCAATTCGATCTGCCAAAGAAGATCTGGGAATCATACTATACGAACTTTGTCGCNTATTAGTCGTCTTACATTCAATAACACCCTGCTCTTTCTCAACTTCTTCAACTAACATCAATTCTTCTTCCTTAGAGAAGTTCAACCCCCTTTTCTTGATTAAAGACATATTAGAAATAATATCGAATACTCAACATTCCACCGATGTTTATATTCAAAAATGACAGTGTGACAGGGAAACGCAGTGTTTACAATCGTAACGAATGAAATCTTACTAGAATTCAGTGTGACCAACTTGAATAAAAAACATAAAGCTCCTTTTACTAAAGTCGGCGTATGAGTGTATTATGGAACGCGTCAACTTTAAAATCGATATTAAAGCCGGCTTTAACCTAAAAATGCCTTTAGTTAAAGTGGCTTTAAGTCCCGCATTATGAAACCGGGCGTTAGTCGTCTTCGGCGTCTCATTTTACATCTTTTATACTCCATATGTTCTATGCCTAACATTAATAATAGTTTGAGAAATAATTAGGGTTTTTTGAAAAATGCTCACATATCATATCAATATTAACCTAGTGTGCCATGGAAAACAAATGTTTAATGACTTATTATTATTATGACTTAATATTAATAACGTAAATGATGTATATACAAATGAAGAAATCCATAACTTATTTTTTGTGCACGAAAAGTGCGACAAAGTTCTTATAATTAGTAGAACTTACAGAATGTTTAATGAAAATTATCGATAATTTATTAAAATTAAAAGATAATATTAAGAAAGAAAGATAATATTATTAAAATTATAGATAATGCAACGGAAAAGGTGAATACCTTGGCTTATTTCGAGCCCACTCCAAACACCTCAATTCGAGCTGCCAAAGAAGATCTGGGAATCATACTATACGAACTTTGTCGCGCATTTCATGTATAAAAAATAAATTAAGAATTTCTTGATTTGTGTAAAATTTACTTCCGTTATTGTTATCGATTTTAACTCTTTTCAGTACTAATATTAAGGGACCTAACAGATAATTATTAGCTCACATGCATCAAGTGACGTAAACAAGTGAGTCTTTGACAAGAACTCATTGAGAAGGCTTGTTTTTCATGGCACACTAGGCTAAATATCCATATGATGTGTGCATTTTTCAAAAAACCCTAATTATCTCCCAAACTATTAATATTAGGTATGGGTCATATGGGATATAAAAGATGTATAATGAGACACCGAAGACGACTAAAAAATAAAATATGGGGGGTGCCATTTAAAAAAATGAAGTTATGGTACTTCCAAATTTTGAAAAGTTAACGTGCCATAGTAAAGTGATCAAACGTTCTAGACCGCAGTTCTCGGCACCAAAACATACTCCATCATGTTGCTTAAGCATGTTCTCAATCCTAAGTTGATATCCCAAAAATTGAGTGTNTTCGTTTAAATAGTTTCTTACGTTTAGCGAATAGTGGGCTGGGGCTCCATCATGCATAAAATACATGTTTCTAATAACGTCTAATGGCACATCTTCCAGTAACTCGTTTAAATTGTCACGCAGAAAGTTCAAGTAGATTTGACCATTTAACCGATTCGGTAAACGAAATGGTCCAATTAAAAAATCACCTACAATGCCGGACCAGACATTTATCGAAAATCCAAATTGATGGTTTCTAACATGAGTTGCGTGCGGATTTTCATCAGACCAAACATGCATATTGTGGAAATTAAAAACTCCATCACGCGTAAAACAGGCTTCGTCTGTAAACAAAATCTTCCCAAGCAAATCTGGATTTAAATTACATTCATGTATCAGCCATTGGCAAAATTGGATACGGGGACGGCAGTCCGTCTCTAAGCGTAGATGATGAATCTTCTGTAAGTAATACGGATGATGTTCTTTAAGGGTCTGCCAAACAGATACAGGATTTACGCCGATAGCTCTACTTATTCGCCTGGTACTCACGTGGGGATTATTAGTTTGCAAAATATTATCTTCGGTGTTTGGCGTGCGGACTGTACGAGGTTTGCCAGTGTCTGATTTTGGCGGCTTAAAGCAGCCTGTTTCTCTGATCCTACGGTCGACTTCTTGAAAGGTTGGATGAGATGGAATATGCCTCGTAGGAGATCTCTGCTGGTAAATTCGTCTAGCTTCCGCGAATTTCGACGAGCTTCGCCATAACATAAATGCATATCGGCGTATTCCGCAAATGTAAATTGAACCATTGCGAAAATAAGCTAGCTTAAATAAGAATAAGTCACAAAATGTTTATTGACATGCAGTTTCTGCGGCTGTTGTTTTATCGCGTTAATGGTAACGCGATATCGCATTCAAATTTAAAGCTGACAATGAAAATTTAAAAATTCCATATCTCGAAAACCAATGAGTATTGGACCTATGTGTATTAGGATTTTTTTCTTGTTTTTATCTCTACTATCACCTGCCAGCGTATGTAAAGTTTGTTTATTAACACCCTGTACAGGTGTTCCATTTAAAAAAATAAAATAGGTGGCGACTTCCGGTATAACCGGAAGTGTAAGAAATCTGAAAATATTTTAGTCGAAGAGATCGTAATTAATAATACTTCAGTCTGAATTCTCAAATTTTTATTTTCGCCAGAACCCTAGAAACGTCTAATGACCGGTCTCGCTGAGACACCCTGTATAAATCAAGGACGGTAGTTTTAGTTTTAATTGTTATTCAGCGCTACGTTGTTGTATATTTTTATTGAACTAAGGGCCGGTTCAACAGTCGCAAGGTAAACTACGGATAAACAGTTTAATTTATAAATATAAATAATATACAGGGTGATTCACATAAGAACCGACACAGAGCAATAAATTAAGATGCTTTATCGTAACTTACCTCTATACTATTTAAATTTTTAAAAACTTCAATATCTCCGAAATACATTAAGCTAGAAAAACCAAATTTGGTATACGTTATGAGTGTATCAAGGGTATTAATTGGTAGCGAAACTTTCGATGTTGCAACTTTCATCGATAATTTTCAAAATTCGCTATACAATTAATTTCTTGAAGGATTCTGGTGGAAATATCACCAATTGTTAATTAAAGTATCCTCTTTTTAATGTAACAGGCCGTTTTGAAAAATCACTTTTAGTTCTTGAGAAATGATTTTTGAAATAATCGACAAATTTTTCGAATTTTGCAATTTTCGCCGATTAAGTTTTAAAAATTCGTATAAAATCCAGTTCTTGGAATATGAGTATGAAAATTTCCCAAAGTGTTAATAAGAGTGTCCTCTTTCCAATGAACGAACCCGTTTTGAAAAATAACTTTTAGTTTTTGAGAAAACAATATTTGAAGTTTTGAAAAAATTTTCGATGTTACAATTTTCATCAATAATTTTCAAAATTCGCTATAAAATTAATTTCTTGGAGGATCCTTGTGGAAATATCACCAATTATTAATTAAAGCATCGTCTTTTTAATGCAAAAAGCCGCTTTGAAAAATCACTTTTAGTTCTTGAGATATAAATTTTTGAAATGATCGACAATTTTTTTGATTTTAGTCCATTTTCGCCGATTAAGTTTTAAAAATTCATATAAAATCCAGTTCTTGGAATATGAGTATGAAAATTTTCCAAAGTGTTAATAAAAGTGACTTCTTTACAATGAACCAACCCAATTTGAAAAATACCTTTTAGTTTTTGAGAAAACAATATTTGAAGTATTGATAACATTTTCGGTGTTGCAATTTTCATCGATAACATTCAAAATTCGCTACAAAATTTATTCCTTGAAAGATCCTTGTAGAAATATCACTAATTATTAATTATAGTATCCTCTTTTTAATGCAAAAATCCGTTTTGAAAAATCACTTTTAGTTCTTAAGAAATAAATTTTTGAAATAATCAAAAATTTTTTCAAATTTTGCAATTTTCGCCGATTAATTTTTAAAAATTCGTATAAAATCAAGTTCTTGGAATATGAGTATGAAAATTTCCCAAAGTGTTAATAACAGTTCATTTTGTATCTTGTATTCAAATAAGTTGACATATTTTATCAGCTTTCTTATTAATTTCAATTTTATTCAAATATCGCAGTAATGTGGCAATAACCATAATGGCCGGATAGATATGCCGTATAATTGGATATACTCCGGATCATCCGGTTTTTCGCAAAATCACTATCCGTGATGACTACTTCAAATCGAACAAATTTTATCAGGAACTTTTTTTTCGTCTGATGCTTAGTTTTCGAGATATTCCGTTTCGTCACCCGGTATATTATACAGGGTGATTCACATAAGAACCGATACAGAGCAGGGACATGTAGAGGACAATAAATTAAGATGATTTAACGCAGCTTACCTCTATACTACGTTGTACTTCTGAGGCAAGGTCTATAGAACATATGGTTACCTAATTCCCTATGCCTCTGTAGTCTCGATTATTATCCCGCAGAATGACGTCACTGATTCCATACAGTCGGAGTAGAGTTGAGTAAAAGATAGCCTATACTGTGGTGCAGTCTATATAAAATATTTAAACCTCGCATCATGTTGTGTTATTCATCGAACCAACTACGTCACTGACCCTCAGAGGAGGAGAATCGGCATTGGGTAACCTTATATTCTATAGACCTTGCTTCTGAGGAGTTAGAGATATATATCGTGGTAAATATACTAAGTCTCTTACAGGGAGACAATTACACTCAAACAGCCCAGGATGCTTGCAACCGAGGAGCTAGAATCCTTTAATTTTGACGATTTCGTGTTAATATGTCAAATAAAGCGCCTCGCCCGCAAGCGACCTCGGTGAAGTGAGGAGTAACGATTTCTTATGCAAGTGTTGTACGTTTAGTTCATTTTCCATGATATCAAATAAACGATATCGTCTACATTGTTGTACATTTTCATATAAAAAAAAATTTCATATAACCGACTTTTGACTATAACGACATTTCCTTCCCCGTGTTAATCCGTTATATTGAAGTTTTACTATATATAGATTTATTTTTGTGTATATTAATTTTGTTTTGATGAAAAGTGTTTAGTTCCGTGTGGAAAAGGAGTCAGAATTCGCCCCCATTATTGCGTAAAACAATCCCAACAGGTTTCAAACACACTTTGTATCTCAAACGATTTAGAAAGTATTAAAGAACATTGCCACGTCCCAAATAAATGCGATTGGCACGTCGGGCAATGGTCGAATTGTTCCGCAACTTGCGCCGGGGGCGAAGGAACCGAAACGAGATCAATTAACTGCCGCGCCCCCGACCGAACCGTAAACGACCACTTTTGCGACTCAAACTCCAAACCGGAATCATCGAGAAGATGCAAAATTTCCCGCCACCATTGCGGCGAACAATACACCACCTTTAGAATCGACAACAACGAAATCTTAAACGATTATTACGACGAGTTCAAATGGGTATTAGGCTCATGGACGAAAGTAAATCAATTAACTCAATTAATTCAATTAATTAAAGCTAAATTAAATTTGTTCTAGTGCTCCAAATCTTGTAATGGCGGCGTCCAATCGAGACAAGTCGTTTGTCGCAATGAAAAGGGATTCACGCATGCGCAAATGTGCGATTTAGGGGTAAAACCTGAGGAACATCGGCGTTGCAATGAATTTGATTGCCCGAAATGGGTTCAGGGGGAGTTCGGGGGTTGTGATGGAAATTGCGAACAACATCGTCAGGTTAAATGCGAAAATTATGAAGGTAACTTTTTTTTCCCTCTCCCCATCAAGACTCTTAGCTGCTACATATTTTTAGCTAGCCGCAATCTGCATCACTGTCTATTCCCATGTTGTCACTTTGGCCTGCATGTATATCCATGGTTTCGTTACCTGTTTCATTCGTTTTACGTGACCAAACCAAGACAGTTGTCTGTACTTAATCATCTTCTCCGTACTCTGTCTCGTCGTGTCTTTCTTGCAACACTCCGAAGGCATTTCAATTGGACCGCATTAACTCTTCAGTAAGTTTGCCCGTCTGGTCAGAAAATAATGTTCCCAAGCAATATATTGCAGAAGCAAATAGTAAGTAGCCATCTGCAAACATAAAGTAGTCTTCCCAAACAGTATTTAGTCTTCTGCAAGCAGAATGTGGTTTTTCCAAACAGTATCTTGCAGAGGCAAATAGTAAGTAGTCATCTACAAGCAGAAAGTAGTCTTTCCAAGTAATAATAAGCATTTTATTGTTTTTGATAATTACAATTTTCCCCTTGATACATCCTAATATATATCATTAGTATATTATTTTCACCCTCTACCCTCTTCCTCCATTTTCATACCCTCGCCTCCTCGGCCCAATCCTCCCCTCATCCATCCCTTTGTCTCCTCACCCCCACAACCATTCTCATCCATCGTTTCCCCTCTCCCCCCCTCTTCTAAGATCTGCCCTCGGTCCAACTCCTCCTCCCTCAACTCACTGCACCCATTCAACATATGTTCCAACGTTTCCCATTCCTCCCTGCATAGCCTACACCACCTCTCCTCATCGGCCATCCAGTATCTGTTAGCTCTCTCCTCGTTTCCACAACGGAACCTAGCCACCAACTTCTTCCCTTCCTCATCTCCTTCCAATAACAAGTATCTAGGCAGCCCCTCCGTTATTATGTCCCTGTACCTTTCGTTATACCTCCCCTCTTTTATTTGTGTCCTTCTTTCCTGTCTCTGCACATCTCGGTCCCTATCTCTCAACTCCCTCCACATCTCCCTACCCACCCTTCGTCTACTATTTATCTCAGTTACCGAGTAGCCCGCTCGTCTATAATAGTTGTCTCTGTCTCCTTTCCCATATCTGATCTTTCCCTCTCTAATTTCCCTCCAACACTCCCCCAAGATCCCGCAGTTTGGCCTCCCTTCTATTCTTTCTTCATATTTCACTGCTCTCCTGCCCGCCTCCACTCTGACCTTATCCACCTTTACCTCTTCCCTCACTATATACCCCGGTGTTTCTCTCGCCACCCCAAGCACCCATCTCCAGTATCTAGCTTGCACGTCCTCCAGCATTGCCTGCTCTCTCCATCCCCATACCTCTGCTCCATACATCATCACACTGCTAACCAGACCTTCAAACATAATCTTCCTCGCTGCCACATTCCTTCCAAAGACTCTCTTCCCCCAACCCCATACTTGTCCCATCACCTTATTCGCCTTTTTTGCCATAGCTATCACATGCGACCCCTCCCTGTTGTCCTCCCTGAACACATACCCCAAGTAAGTATACTCCCTAACCTCCTCGATCTCTTTTCCCTCCCATCTCCAGTTTTCTGTTCTTTTTCTCCCCCCCTTACAAAACTTCATCATCCTTGTCTTCCCCACATTCACTTCCAGCCCCTTCCCCCTAAAATATCTTTCCAATGTCTTTATCATATCTTTCATCTCCGCCGCTTCTCTCGCCATGACCACGATGTCATCCGCGTATGCTAACATATGCACCTTTCTACCTCCCACCACCAACCCTCCCATTTGCCCCTTCCCCAATCTATCCTCCAGGTCCGCCGTATACAGTGCAAACAGACTTGGGCTCAGCGGACATCCCTGCCTCAGTCCCTTCGTCGTCCAGAACACGTCGCTCAGCTTATCTCCCACTTTTATCCTAGCCATAGTCTCCATGTATATTTCCTTCACTCTCGCAATTAGGTGTTCCGTGATCCCCCTCCTCCCCATCTCCTCCCACAACTTTCCCCTATCGACCTTATCAAAAACCGCCTTCAAATCTATAAACAGGGCGTACAATTTCCCTCCCTTCTTATCCAGCTCTCTATCTGCCAGATACTTCAACACGTACACGTTGTCGATTGCTCCCCTTTCCTTCCGAAAGCCTGCCTGCCCATCCGGCAAAATTCCCCCCAACTCCATCTCCTCCTCCAGTCTTCCCAGCAGTATCTTCTAGGTTAATTCCTTTGTAGCTCTCTACCCTTATTACCCTTTTTATATACTGGGCAAATTACCCCCACATTCCATCCTTCCGGAATCCCACCCCCTCTCCATACGCTATTCATCCCCTCCAACAATTTCACTCTCACCACCCTTGATGCTTCCAACCATGCCTCGTTCTGGATGCTATCTTCCCCTGGCGCCTTTCCCTTCTTCAATCCCCTAAGCACTGCTTCCATCTCCTCTTCTGCTATCTCCTCTCCCCCATCTCCCTCATAGCCTCCCAAACCCGTTAGCCTCGTTTCAACCCCTCCCAATAATCCCATAAAGTAACTCTTCCAATCTGTCATGTGTATTTCGCTGGTTATCCTCTCCCTACCCTTCTTTCTCTTTTTCAGATACCTCCAGACCTCCCCTTCCCTTGTTATCCTTCTAATCTCTGCCGCCTCCTTCTCCCTCAGTTCTGTTTTCTTTCTACTGCATAACTCTCTGTATCCTCTCCTGGCCTCCCTATATCTATCCACCCCTATCTTCCCCCGTCTCCACTGCCTCAACCTCCTTCTCGCCTCCCTCTTCGCCTTCTTGCACTCGCCATCATACCAGTCGTTCCTCCCTACTCTGCCCCCCCTACGTACACACTCCCTTTTCAGTGTTGCCTCCCGCACTACCTGGATAAGTTCTTCCAAACCATTGATCTCTTGTATCTTCTGTTGCCAAGTGTCTAGGTTTCCCCTGTAGAATGCTACCCCTTCTTCCGACCAGTCTGTCCTGATCAACGTGCTCCCTATTTCCGCTCGCCTTCTGCCGTCCACCCCCTTTACCTCTACCTCCAACGGTTGGTGATCCGACTCTACCGCTTCTCCCTCTTTAAACCTTTCCACCCTCTCCCACATTTCCTGATCCACCAGTACATAATCAATCACAGATTCCTCTCCTTCCTCTTTATTTCCATTCAGTATCTCCCATCCGTTCTCCTCCACCCATCTCAGAATTTCTGTTAATACTCCATTCCGCACGGTGTCCTTCGACCGCCGTCGTCCTTCCTCTCCCCATATCTCCACCCTTCCCCCCTCCTCGCCTACTCTAGCATTGAAATCCCTTCCCATTATTATATATTCCCCGTCCCATCCCCCGCCATCTCATTCCATTGCTTTCTCGTCTCTTTCATTGACTTGCTATACACAGTAACTATCTGCATCGTCTCTCTCCCCCAGCTGATCTGCCTTTTTACCATTCCCTTCTGCCTCCATCTCCCCTCCGTCTTACTCTCCTCCGTAATTCCTCTCGCTATTCCTGTTATAATACCCCCGCATGCTCTTCCTCTCTGCAAACACGCAATCCCATCTATACCCTTCTGGCAACTTTCCCTCAATCTTTGCCCACCCTCCTTCATCAACCCAGGTCTCCACCATACAAATCACCTCAAATCTCTTCAGATATTCCCAGAACTACCCTCCCTTATTCGTAATCCCCGCTACATTCCAGAACACCATTTTCAACCCCTCGCTTTTCTCTGGCTTCTCCCCTCCCCCGTCTAGTTTTTTGATAAAATCCCTTGCTACCCTCTCTTCATGTCGTCATAATTAATACATCTCTTCACCAACTCCGCCGCTACCTGGTATTCCCCACAGTTTCTATCCCTCGTTTCGTGTCTGTCATCCTTCCCCCTGGCTTTGCAGTTTGCACATACTGCCTCTCTCTCCCTATTCCCACAGTTCTTAAACTCTTTCCAGGTGTCTTCTTTCTCTAGCTTCTTCACCACATCATTCTTCAATTCCGCGCTATCCACGATATTCTCCCCACCCTGAACTATGATGATGTTCTTGCTAAGTTATCTGAATAAGGAACTAAATATTCTGTCCTGCTGACGATTAATCAGCTTTTTTCACTTCCCGAACACTGGGAAGAGTCCCAACACACACCGTGCACCGAAAATCCCAATTTCAATTCGCCAAGAATACTCAAAAACAACAGAACCCACCGGACTGACAGCAACATGCCACTCAGTGCTGATTCAGATCTATTCAGGTCTTTCCAAGTATTATCTAGACTTCTGCAAGCAGTAAATAGCCATCTGCAAGCAGGAAGTAGTCTTCCCAAGCAGTATTTAGTCTTCTGCAAGCAGTAAGTATCCTTCTACAAGCAGAATGTAGTTTTTCCAATCAGTATCTTGCAGAATCAAATAGTAAGTAGTCATCTGCAAGCAAAAAGTAGTCTTTCCAAGTAGTATTTAGTCTTCTACAAGCAGAAAGTAGTATTCCCAAGTATTATCTAGTCTTCTGCAAGCAGTAAGTAGCCATCTGAAAACAGGAAGTGGTCTCCCAAGAGACTAGAACTTCCAATTCCAGATTCATCGAGAGAATTTTAGAGTTTTTAGAATTCCGATGTGGTTTTTTCGGTAACTATGACTCCTTCTCTTGCTATCTGTTATTCCTCTGTCCATTTCCTAGGCTATCTCTTGACTCTTAACTTTTAATTATTTATGTATACATATATATAAAATTAATTAATTAATTATATACATATTTTTAAATGAATAGGTAATTTAGTTCCTAACATCGATTGTGATGTAAATACTCAACCCAAAAGAACAATAAAATGCGAAATTTGTCTTGGAAATAAGAAGAAGCATCACCATAATGATTTGAACGCGAGGAAATTTTTGAAGAATTATAAATGGAAGAAATCAGCTTGGGGGGCGGTAAGTTTTAACTCATTTAATTAAATTAATTACTAAAACTAATTACTAAATAAAAATGAAAGCAGCAACTAACTCCTTCTAACAATGAAATTCGCTTAAAAAAAATAAATGCGTTTTAGTGTTCGACAAATTGCGGAAAAGGAACCGAAATACGCAAAGTTTCCTGCCGGGATATTCACAGAGATGTAGCCGTAGTCGATTCGTATTGTTCAGGGACGAATAGAAAGCCGAAACACGCCCGAATTTGCGAACGTTACGACCCGGTTAGCTGTAAATTTACTTGGGTCGAAGGGTCGTGGTCGAAGGTACACTTTTTCGCTAATTATCAATACTTACTTATTAATTAATGTGATTAATTAGATTTTTAATGAATCAATTTTTCTGGGCATTATTTAGTGTTCGAAATCGTGTAATGAAGGCGTCAAACACCGAAACGTCACCTGTCATAATGTGACATCCGGAGAGGTCTCGCGCGATCCCGTTCACCCCGGGAGATGCGACGAATACGCCAAGCCTAAAGTTCAGGAGAAATGCTTGGAAAGGAAATGCGATGATAAATTTAAATGGGTTGCTGGAAATTATACTAAGGTAGGTATTTATACACTCCGATAATTAATTAACGTACCCGACTTCATCATTGCAACCACGTACACAAATCGCGTATTGCAATATCAATACTGTGATATTGGTTGCATACTTGACGTCGGGTACGATAATTAATGAACACACTGTATTTATATTTTATTTTCTATACTATGTTGTATTCCCCACTATTACCACTTCATGATAATATCCATTTCGTAACCAATAAGAACGCTTGAAACCGTTGTAGCCATGGTAACTATCCCCTAATAATTCATTCAAGAGGATGATTACTTACTTATATACAGGGTGTCTCCCCGTTCAGTTGCATAACCTCGTAGGGTTATTCCAGTCAACATAGGTCCAATTCTCAACCATTTTTGAAATGATTCTACTATAATTAGCAGAAAGTGTTAAGTTTTAATGATTTTAATGACCAAACAATGCCGTAAACAAACAAAAAGCGATCATTAATTGATTAAAGCTTTCATAGTGTGCCGAACATCCGTCATGGGCAAACCACATCCTATTACGCACGTTCAAGGGGATATCTTCAAGAAGTATGGGAAACTGTTCTTCTAGGAATCTCCTGTAGATTTGGCTGGTGAAAGTTCCATCAAAGATTTTCGGTCCCAGGACAACATTTTCTATGATAATCGGTGCTGGAATCTACTTTCTGACAAAGCAATTGGGAGGAGATCCTGGTTCTTTAGGATCCACGAGTAAAATTCTTCTCGTTTTGCATAGTCTGCTGGTAAGAGATTTTGTACTTGTCGTACGTGGTAAGGATGTAGACCATTTTCACGCAAAGTCCTGTGAATTGACGCTCTTTTCTGTCCCGTGGTGGCAACCATTCTTCTTATGCTGGTTCTCCGATTCTCAGAAACTTCATGAAGAACAGCTTCAGTGTGGTCATTAGTCTTTTTCGGAAAGGATCCTGTTTGCCGGAGCGATCTGAAATAGTTCATGATGATTGTCTGACAAAGATGTCTTTGGTTCGGGTAGCGTCCTGTGTACTCTCTTGCAGCTTTTGAAGCGTTTCCTCCACAATAACCATATAAAATATCATTTAGCCATTTTTAAAGGTTCTACGAGCGGAATCCAATGACAAACATACTAAAAAACTGCCTCATTGACAACTGTCAAAAAGCCAACTTCTTATAATATGCAACTCAACGGGGAGACATCCTGTATAATGTGTTAATTAGAATAAAATAAAACAGAGCGGAAGCAATACGGGGCGATCTTCAGGACATAAGATAGAGGCAACAGAAATGACATCAACATTAGAGTTCATATCAGAGTGTCTCCAAGTTGATGCGAAAGATTTTAAAGGTGATTTTTCAGTAGAAATTAAGTTCTTTCCCTCTCAGTTACAGTTGGTTGTGCAAAATGTTTTCAGTCCGTACGTTTAAAATTCTCTAGAAATTTGAGAAAATCAGTATAATAAAATTATTTGTCATTATGACTTCATTTGACATCAGCCTACTTTATTTAACAAATTTATTTTGCCTGTGTACGATTTTATTTTTTTGATTGAATCCCACTGTTTAAATTAAGATTTTTGCATTAAAAAGTTCTGATCCAAACTATTATGGGGGTCGCTTTTGTCACCCCCTTGTAATAACATTCTAAGGCCATAAAAATCGTCAAAAACTGCTATATTATTATCTACAGTTATCTGTAGCCTAATTTCATTCTTCTAAATTCTTCCATAGTAGATATATTAAATAAAAACAATTTTTTCCCTTAGTCATAACGTGGAGGAAACTTTCCGTCAGTTTAAATTAATTTTTGCTGAAAAATCAGCCTTGAAAATCTTTCGCTTCAATTTAGAAACATCCTGTATATTGAATATAATAATGATAATAAATATTTTTTATTACACCATATTCTTATTATGAATAAAATGGGATAACCTCAAATAATGGATCCAATAGATTTTAACACAGTGGGCGTTAGGTTGGTTTATACAGCCTCGTACCTTTGCTTTCAAGTAGTCTTCCAAAGCTAGATAATGTTCTCTGTAAACAGTAAATAGCCATCTGTAAGCAGGAAGTGGTCTTCACAAGCAGCACCTTGTAGAGGCAAACAGTAAATAGATACCTGCAAACAGGAAGTAGCCTTCTGTATGCAGAAAGCAGTCTTCCCAAGCCTATCTAGTTCTATACAAGCAGTAAATAGCTTGCAGAAACTGAAAGTAGCGTTCTGCAAATACTACGAAGTATTCTCAGGCAGTATTTAGTGTTCTGTAAGCAGTAAATAGTCTTCTGCAAGCAGGAAGTAGCATTCTGCAAGAAGTGGTAAGAAGTAGTCCCCTACAAACAGTATTTAGTCTTCTGCAAGCAGAATGTAGTCTTCCTAAGAAAAAGTAGTAAACAGTCTTCTTCAAGCAGGATGCTATCTTCTGCAAGCTAAAAGTAGTCTACCCTAGCTGTGTTTAGTGCTCTCCAAGCAGTAATTATCTATCTGCAAGCAGAAACTAGACTTCCCAAGTAGTATCTAATCCTCTATATGCATTAAATAGTGTTCTTCAAGCAGGAAGCAGCACTCTGCAAAAAGTAAATATTCTTCCCAAGTAATACCTAGTCCTCTGCAAACAGAAACTAGTCTTCCCAAGCAGTATATAATCCTCTGTAAACAGTAAATAGTCTTTTTCAATGAAGTAGCACCCTGCAAGCAGTAAAGAGTCTTCCCAAGCAGTATATATATAGATATTTTCAATTTTGGCCTCTTGGGGAAAAACAAAAGACGTTAGCGCTTTGAGGTTTTTAGCATTAGCAATTTCTCGAAAAGCGAGATCATGACATGTAAGCTACTTTTTTTCTAACTCTTATAGTTTCCGAGATAGCCTATTCGGACATCGAATTTGAACCACCCTGTACTTTGTTTAAATAAAGTTATTATTATTATTATTGCGTTCTCTTCGACTAAAATATTTTTAGATTTTTAGCACTTTCGGTTATACCGGATGTTGCCACCTACTTTATTTTTTTACATGGAACACCTATACAGCGTGTCCGTAAAGTAACGGATATAGGAGATAAAATCATAATAAACGGTTTATGGAAAAATCCCTGAAACGGGTCTAAAGATTTAAATTGTTTGCAATTTTTTGGTGTAGATTTCAATTTTTTTCCGCCATTTTTAAACAAGTTATGGCGTCATCGATATTTTTTTTAAATAGCAATCCCCCATTTTTATTGTGGAACATGAAAAAGGATTCTTTTCTGAATCTAGTACAGTTAATATTAATATCGGTTACATAAGAAAATTTTCGAGAAAAAGTACTTTAAAGTTTAATTACTTCAAATTTGTATAATGATAAAAATAGCAGTAGCCATGAGTAACTATGGTAACCAATTATTCTAAACAATTCCCTGAGTGTCAGAATCTGATTTAGTAAAACTTCTTGAAGTGTGGTGGTGCGCCATCTTGTTGGAATTGAGTTGGGTCAACATTATCGGGATGGAAGGAATGACATCGCTTTGAAAAAATTTAAACATCTCTTTCCACTTAAGGTTTTCTCAAATCTTTTACGGATATTGGGTGTGCGACTTTCTAGGCTAATTTGGATTTTGGGTAGCGCAATACCGACAACTTTATCTATTTACTTGTCCACTCAAAAATTATGTTTTTGACAAAGACATCGTCATCGTTGCAAAATTGTTGTGGCAAAAACTACGATTCATTGCTCGTGAATCAGGTTTACTTTATGGGAATGATATTTTGCGGGTTTTAAAATTTTATGAACCAATGATTTACTAATGTCGAAATTAGACCCAATACTCCTTACAGTAACATGAGGGTTTTCTTGCCCAGCCAAAACCACGATTTGTCTAACTTCTCTTGCAACATTTAGTAGGCCAGACTATGAAAAATGCTTCGAGAGGTGACCATGTTGTTTAAATTTAGTCATAGCTACGCTCATCATCAGTGTTGTTAAATACGCGGGTATTTATTTTCAAGGGAAAATTCCCTGGATATATACCCAGGGGTATTTACCCAAGATGGGTATTTAGAGGTATTTATAAAATTTGATTTAAATTGAGTTGATGGCAGTTTTGCAAGTACTTCAAGAATGCAAAGTCGATTATCGATACACCAAACTTATTTATAACATTTACAAGAATGCTACAATGACGGTAAAATTGCATGTAAGTACTGACTGAAAACCCATTGGGCGTGGGGTAAGACAAGGCGATACAATGTTGCACTCAAATTGTTCATCACAGTCCTGGAGAGTGCATTTAAACAATTAGATTGGACCCAAAAAGGTATAAACATTGATGGCAATACCTAAGTAATTTGCACTACGCGAACGATACAGTCCCTATGTTGGATAGTTTTAGAGAGATGAAACTGATGCTGAACGACTTAAGGAGGTGTGCAAAAGTCGGGCTAAACATCAACGTGGATAAATCAAAATTTATGACAAATCTTGTTCCCAGCTCTAACATCAACATTGGGGATAATGAGATTGAGAGGGTTGACAGTTATGTATATCTTGGCCATGAGGTTCGTGTATCAAGAGATAATACGGGAAACTTAGAGACATCTTCATGAGCGATATTCCTGTATATTTGAAAAGAAAGGCTTTCAATCAATGCCTGCTTCCTCCTTGGATTACGACATACGGTTCTGAAACTTTAACATTAACGGTGGCCATTACCAGGAGGCTCAAAGTAACGCAAAGAAACCTGGAGAGGTCGATGCTGGGTGTAACCCTGTGGGACCACATACGAAATGAAGACCTACGAAGAAGAACTGGTGTAAATGATGTGGTCAACATTGTGGCAAAGCTCAAGTGGAACTGGGCGGATCATCGTCACAAGAATGAAGAATGAGCAGTGGTTGCCTGATTATAATACGTCTTCGATCGTTGACAATTCCTCGTCTTCAACGCCCATTTGATCATCTTCTTCTAATCTGTTATATTTTTACTTGTATCACTTTTATATGTACTGGTTTGGTTTTACCGTGGGCGGGGTAAATACCCGGATAAA